AGTCTAGCATTTTGGGTGTCCAAGTCATTCTCCGGATAATTCATTTTCCCAGCTCCCTTAAAATTAAAAAAGGAAGAAGAAGAGGGAAACTTCTCCCCCTGATCTAGAACTGCGTCGAGTTTCACCGCAACTACATAGCCATCCCGCTATCCATCGCAACTATAGAGAAGTTATCTCTTCCTCTCAATATGGTGGAACTTCCAAAACAATTCTTGCTTCATCGGCCTTCCACATGCCCTTCTAACTAACTATTGGAGGTTTACCTTGAAAACCTATTGGAGGTTCAAGTTTAAAGCATGCATCTCTAGGAAAACTACAATTTCATATCTTTGTGCGGTGCTTTGTATCACCACCTGTCCTTATTGATAGATCTGGGGCGTTTTCCAGAAAAACAAAAACATGCATCTATAATTTCCCACTGATTTAACTTCTGGAGAAGTTTCCAAACTATAAGCAGCTATTGATCATTTGCTTGAATGAATTATATGTTGAGTAAATAACTATTAGACAATAGCATGGTAAAAGTTGCATCAATCGACTTTTGTTTACCTGTTATATCCATTTGGAGAACAACTTATCTGGCTTTCGTAGGTCTATCATAGTTTTATAGAATGGCTGTGCCACACATGTTTTCTTTTCGTTTGATGAAATGGTAAAGGTGGTACTTTCAATATAAGCAGAGAAGACATGATTTACCTTTTCATGACTTATGCTTATGGATTAGTCATCCACTCGTTCGGCACGCACACCCGGACGATGGAAAATTGTCATAGACAGGTTTAAGTCCTGAACACCTAATGGTGCTCAGCAGATTTCCTAAATAGAAATACCACATATGCTAGTGCATATTGGTCGAGTTTTTTATATGCACATCCAGTGAAAATACATATATCTAAAAAACATTTGTTTCGTGAATCAAGTCTGGCTCGATGTTTTGTTATAATCGTGCAATATGGAATTCAACACGTCGCTATAATCTGTACATTACAGCAAAATACATAAAAACGAGGGAAGTATCAAGGCTATGTCATTTGAGTGTTGAATTACCGAAAGGAAGGAAGATATAAAAATTACATATACACATATAAAATTCATTGCAGATACAGGTGAAACTCACAACCCATCATTGGATTACATGAAGTTGGAAGATCAACCTAACTGGTACGTGCATAACACAATCACACAGTTATGATGAGTTATGGATAGAGCATATATATCATATGCTCGTATGATATATTCATGTGTCTTGTTTTTAGTCATCAACCCGTATAACATATCACTGGTACGTATCATGCACGGTGATTGTCGGCGTCTAGAGGTGGAGGTCTCGATCGGTATTATGGCCGGGCGGGCGGGGCAGGCGGCTTGGGTGGCGCCGGTGCCGGCGGCGAGGGCGTGAGGGCGCATTTGATCATGCCCATAACGTAGGTCTGGTCGCAGCTGAACCAGCAGACCGGCATGTCGGCGGGGGGCTTGGCCATGCACCCGAATACGCAGCCCATCACCGTCGTCCAGCACCCCATCATGCAATCCATCATCCCTTCCAGCTCCGGGGCCGTCATTGGCTGCCCGGCCGCCCATGCCGGCACCGAGAGTTCCGCGGCGTGGACGGGCCTCGGGTCGGCTGTGGCGGCGTGCAGGTCGGCGAGGCCGGCCAGGACGACGAGGGCGATGAGGAGGGCGGTGGAGCTGGTGGTGGTAGCCATCCTGCCCTTGTGCTTGCGGTGGTCGATCGATGGGTTTTGTGTGGTGAGCTGTTCACTTATAAGAGATGGTTTAGATAGTGGGATTTGGCATGCAGGGCTTAGCGTGGCGTACCAAACCCGACTTGCATTTTTGGTGTGTCCTGCCGTTGCTTCTCCGCGCACGCACACACACGATACAGGTGATGATTAAGCGTAGGATGCATGAAATATGCGTGAACGAAGAAATATGTACTACTCAGCAAATAATGTTTGTTGGACAATACTAATTGGAGGCACCAGTGAAACCTCCACGTTAACTATGATCATCTTGAAAATATCTCCACCCCATTGTCCAAATAAAGGTGGGAGCGTATGTCTTAATTTGGTCGTTTTGGCTATGTAGAAACGATTTGGTTTTTAATGAAAAAAATGCTTCTCCTCTACAGGTTATTTTTCGGTATACGCACTCGCTACGTACATGGTTTATGTTCCAACGACCGAAGGACCAACCGTTGTTCAAAACGGTGTGTATGCGATTGGAGCAGGTGGCAACGGAGGTTTTTTCTGACATGAATGGCAACATAACCTTCGGATCGATCCACCATCTCCCTCGACATTGGCATAGTGTAGGTCTATAGGACTCTACTATTGCCGATTTGTCGGGTTTTATTTCATGATTTTTTTGTCAGACTTTCGTATTGAGTTGTGTACATCCTAATTATGCAGAGGCCAAGTGTTACTCATAATGCTTTGTATCTGCTTGATGCTACATTTTGAGGTAAACTAAAAAGCAAAGACTCAAATCATACAAGACGCTCCAAGTAAAACACATATCATGTGGTGAATAAAAATATAGCCTCAAGTAAAGTTACCGATAGATGAAGAGAAAAGAGGCGATGCCTTCCGGGGCATCCCGAAGCTTAGACTTTTGGTTGTCCTTGAATATTACCTTGGGGTGCTTTGGGCATCCCCAAGTTTAGACTCTTGCCACTCCTTATTTCATAGTCCATCAAATCCTCACCGAAAACTTGAAAACTTCACAACACAAAACTCGACAGAAAATCTCATGAGCTCTGTTAGTATAAGAAAATAAATCACTACTTTAAGGTATTGTTGCAAACTCATTCTTTATTTATATTGATATAATATCTACTGTATTCTAACTTCTCCATGGTTCATACCCCCGATACTACCCATAGATTAATCAAAATAAGCAAACAACACGCGAAAAACAGAATCCGTCAAAAACAGATTAGTCTGTAGTAATTTGTAACTCCCGAATACTTCTGTAACTCTAAAAATTCTGAAATAAATTGGTGGATGTGAGGCATTTGTCTATTAATTTTCTTCAAAAAGAATCAACTCAAAAGCACCCTTCCGTTAAAAATGACAAATAATCTCATGAGCACAAAAATTTCTGATTTTTAGCAGGATCAACACAACTATCACCGTAAGCTATCCTAAAGGTTCTACTTGGCACAAACCCTAATTAAAACATAAAACCACATCTAACCAGAAGTTGGATGAATTATTTATTACTAAATAGGAGCAAAAAAGCAAAGAAAAAAATAAAATTAGGTTGCCTCCCAACAAGCGCTATCGTTTAACGCCCGTAGCTAGGCATTGAGATTTCGATGATGCTCACATGAAAGACAAGAATTGAAGCACAAAGAGAGCATCATAAAACATGTGGCAAACACATCTAAGTCTAACATACTTCCTATACATAGGCATTTTATAAGGAAATAAATTATTAAGGTAAGCAAAAACTAGCATATGCAAGGAAGCGGAAAGAAACAATAGCAATCTCAACATAACGAGAGGTAATTTAGTAATATGAAATTTTCTACAACCATATTTTTCTCTCTCGTAATAATTAAATGTGGGACCATAAGCAAATTCAACAAAATAGCTATCACATAAAATATTTTCAACACGATCCACATGCATGCGAAGTTGACACTCTTCCAAAATAGTGGGATTAACATTAACTAAAGTCATGACCTCTCCAAACCCACTTTTATAAAAAAAATCATAAGATTGAACATTCTCCAAATATGTGGGATCTAAAGTTGACACTTGTAAGGGCATATTTATCCCCAAAATGTTTTGGTGATTGATGACAATGCTTTTGCGGACTAATCGCGTGCTTTAAGTTCTTTCAGAGATTCACCCATTGGCACGAGACGATTTACTCCCCTCGATGTGTCATTCAAGACGGTGTAGCTCCTTCGTCTCTCTGTTGGTGGACTAGTTTCGTAGGAGTCACCGTACTATCAAGAGGGGATCCGCTTTGGTAAGGCTAGGGTGGAATCAACACGTACACATTCGTTTCACACCCAATGTCTTCCTTTCAGCTTCGATGGAGCAGCCTCTCTCTGCTTGTCTCTGCCCTGTCCTACCCCAGCGGTAGTACCGCGGTCTTCAGCGGTAGTACCGCCGAAGCACTCAAGTGGTAGTACCGCTCCCAGAGCGGTAGTACCGCACCCTAGCGGTAGTACCGCTCCCAGAACGGTAGTACCGCTTGAGGTCTTCGGCCGTAGTACCGCAGCAGGTCCGCGCTAGTACCGCTTCGATTCTCGATCGATGTTTTTCGTGTCGGGTTTTGCGGTACTAGGAGCGGTAGTAGTGGCGGTAGTACCGCTACAAGCGGTAGTACCGCTCTTACCCCCGCGGTAGTACCGCTCTGGGGGCCAGGGCCCTGTCTTCCTCGTCAGCGCGGTAGTACTGCTGGGTGGAGCGGTAGTACCGCCCTCAGCGGTAGTACCGCCCTGCCCAAGCGGTAGTACCGCTCTGTGCGGGGCTGCTCAGTGGGGTAACGGTTGGATTTGTTCCCCCACTATATAAAGGTGTCTTCTTCCTCCAAGTTGACCTACCTCTTTCCCCCAAAGCTCCATTGTTGCTCCAAGCTCCATTTTCGCCCGATCTCTCTCCCTAGCCAATCAAACTTGTTGATTTTCTCGGGATTGGTTGCCAGATCTACACTTCCACCAAGAGAAATTTGATTCCCCCCACTTATCCCTAGCGGATCTTGTTACTCTTGGGTGTTGAGCACCCTAGATGGTTGAGGTCACCTCGAAGCCATACTCCATTGTGGTGAAGCTTCGTGGTGTTGTTGGGAGCCTCCAAGTGTTGTGGAGATAGCCCCAATCTTGTTTGTAAAGGTTCGGTCGCCGCCTTCAAGGGCACCAATAGTGGAATCACGGCATCTCGCATTGTGTGAGGGCGTGAGGAGATTACGGTGGCCCTAGTGGCTTCTTGGGGAGCATTGTGCTTCCACACCGCTCTAATGGAGACGTACTTCCCCTTAAAAGGAAGGAACTCCGGTAACACATCCTCGTCTCCACTGGCTCCACTCTTGGTTATTTCATGCCTTTACTTTTGCAAGCTTACTTGTGTTACATCTATTGCTTGCTTGTGTGCTAGGTGTCTTTGCATCATATAGGTTGGTCACGTAGTTGCACATCTAGACAACCTATTTTGTTGCAAGTTTTAAATTGTTAAAGAAAATCTTAAAAATTGTTAGTTGCCTATTCACCCCCCCCTCTAGTCAACCATATCAATCCTTTCAATTGGTATCAGAGCCTCGTCTCTTTATTAAGGACTTTGCCATCCGAAGAGTATGGTTGACACCAACGACGGTGCGGAGGAACACTCCGGTGTGAATCCCATCTCATCTTGGGCCGAAGGGGGAACCTCGGTCTCACGTGAGGAATTCAATGTGGCTTTAGACACATTGAAAACCTCCATGACGGCCGAGGTTAAAAGCATGTTTACTGAATTTCTAGAAGGACTTAAACTATCTACCTCGCTGATGAAAGTGGGTGATCCCACTAACAAGGTGACGGATGCTACCTCCGACAAGGGGGAAGCTAACAATGAAAAGAGTCCTTCTACTAGTGGTAGAAATGGCACCGACATCTTTTCCCATGTGGAACCTCCAACTTATGGAGGACCGATCCCCTCCACTCATTTGAATCATGCCGGTCCCCCTCCTAAATATGTGAAAAATGAAGATTTTGATTCTTGGGTTTATCGCTTCAAGCGTCATTTAAAACATGTGAATACTAACCTTTGGAGAATAATTGAAGAAGGTTTCTATCCTCATGACCCAAGCAACTTCACCCCTCGAGAAGAAGTGGACAATCAATTCAATGAGAGTGCTCTCTTCATCATACAAGATGCAATCCTTCCCGAAGATCTCCCTCATCTTCGACCCCATGTCATGGCTAAAGAAGCATGGAAATGTGTTGAGGGTCTCTATCGAGGAAGTGCTAGCATTCAACGCTCCAACTATGAAGTGGTGCAAGATGAAGCCGATGAGTTTGCAATGAAAGAAGATGAAGAGCCTCGTGAGCTCTTTCGAAGGGTGACCAAACTCGCGGTCGCACTCCGAGATCATGGAAGCAAGGACACGGATGACAATTGGATCAAGCGCAAGTTCCTCAAGGCCATGATGCCCTACAACAAGGCCATGTCCTCAGTCATTCGTCAAAGACCGGACTTCCACTCCATGACCTCAAGTGAAGTGTTGGATGAGTTTGTTGCAATGAGCATCTTGGACAAGACCGCCGACAATGCGGTGCTCCGTTCTCAAAGGGCAAAGAAGCCCAACCTTGCTTTGAAGGCCAAGGTTATTATGGAAGAAGAGGAAGAAGTGGAAGATGAGGAGAGCAACCCCGAAGACACCAAATTTGATTACCATGAGCACATGGCCCTTGCTTCAAGACAATTTTGGAGCAAGAAGAATTCAAGGCCCAACTTCAACAAGAACAACTCAAGTGGCATCAAGGGCAAGCAACGAATTAGAACTTGCTTCAACTGTGGCAATGTGAGCCATTTCGTTGCGGATTGTCCTTACGAGAAGCGGGAAGACAATGGTGGCAAGTTCATCCGAAAAGACAAAGCCAAGTTCTTCCCCAACAAGAACAACTTTGCCAAGAAGACTCTCACTCGTGGCTTAGTGGTTCAAGAAGAATACCAAGAGGATGTCGATGATGATGAAAACGAAGAAGCAATGG